GTCTCAGACTTCCAGATGTTGAGTTTTTCCCCTTATTATGCAGATCAATATGTATCTTTGTATATCATTTGCTCTTTTTTTTTTTTTTTTTTTCATAACCAGGGATTGAACTCAGGCCCTTGTGCTTGCCAGGGAAGCACTTACTCTACTGAGCCATCTCTCCGGCCCCTCATTTGCTCTTTTGACTGAGGGAATTACTAAATTTTACTTTGTTCATTGTATTGAAAATATAGCCAGGTGTGGTGGCACACATCTGTAATCCCAGCATTTGGAGGGCAGAGGCAGGGGGATTGCCATGAATTCAAGGCTAGTGTGGGCTACCTAGTGAATTCTAGGCCAGTCTGAACTGCATAGTGAGCCCCTGTCTAAAAACACCCACACATATATGTATGTATACTTCTCCTTAAAATGAAGCATTTTCCAGACTCTCTCGAACCATGTGTAGAACTTACTTGGAGTCTCAGTGTTATATCATCAGTGTCAGCTGTGTAGACAACACTTAACTTTTCCATGATGGATGGCACTAGGAAGAGGACTTCCTTTGGTCATTTATTTGTTCCTGTATTTATTATGTGCTGTATTTGTTAATATAATTCTTAGAATGAAGACAACAATATGGAATGTGTTAATTATTGAAACTGTCCTACTAACCTGTTTTGAAACTGTCTCATTACAATTTGTTTCTCAATAAAATTAATAGGGGCCAGGAAGATGGCTCAGTAGGATAAGCGCTTGACTGGCAAATGCAAGGATCTGAGTTCAATCCCTGGTTCCGCCAAAAAAAAAAAAAAAATTAATAAAAAAACAAGAAACAAAAAAAATATATAATTCTTAGAGAGCTTTGTCCCTATCTTTGTGTATCAAAGGTAAATTGGCATGGGATTTGCCCTTGTATAATTTTTGTTTGGTGCCCTATTAAATTGCATTTATTTATTTTCTGCAAAGCTCTATTCCAAAGGGGTTCAGTCTTTTTTTTTTTTTTTTTTCTTTTTTGGTATTTAGTACAGGGTCTATAGGGTCTCACTATGTAGATGGGCTTCTTAGTGATTCTGTTTTCAGCCTCCCAAGCACTGGGATTACAGGTGTGTGCCACCATTCCCAGTCTCATTTGCTGTCTCAGCACACCCTAGGGGTGGGGCTGACATGGCATGCTGGGGGATTGAACCCCGGCTGCTGCACTCTGCCTAAGCCGGTGCTTTAGTCTGCTGAGCTATCTGGCCAGCCCACTCAGACCTTCTTGACAGCTGTCTTCCTCATGGCAGCCAGCATGTTGCTCACCTCCTCACGCTTCTTGGCATGATGTGTGTTCCTACCCTTTCCTTGATGAACTTGAGGGTGCATTTGTCCTTGGAGACCTTGAGCGGCTCCATGGCCTGCTGCTCGAAGGGTGTGAAGTTGCACACCTCTCAGATCATGTCCTGCGCGAACTTGGTGTATTTGGTGAGGTATCTGGGATGGCAGCTGTGCCTTGGTTTGCTCACATTCTTAGTTACCTCGTGGCCCTTGTTGGGGTCCACGGCCATGGAATAGTGGAGGGTCATGGCTACAGTTCTTCAGTAGTTGCTGTGGTGGAAGCTAAATTGCTTATTTTTAAATATATGTTTTATCATTATTATTTTTTTGGTACGGGGGATCAAACTTAGGACCTTGTGCTTGCAAGGCAGGTGTTTGTGCCTCTGAACTATATCCCCATCCCTAAACTTAAACTTTAATAATAAGAAGATAGTATTTAGAAATTTGTGCTAAAACAGACACAAACATTCTTTTCTTTTAATTCATACTGTGTATCTTTGTGCATCACCAGATTGGCTTGGGCTTTAGGAAATGAAGATGTCCACCTAAATTACTAGATGACTTGAGGCAGGTCTGGTAGGGCACATTAAGCTGATCTCTCTTGAGTTCTCAGCATTCGCCTGTATATGCTGTTCCTTCAGTCGGAGTTCTTACTGGATACAGAGTCATTACATCCTTGACCTGGCTCCTGGCAGAGTTCTACGGTTGGTTGGGTCTTCTGAGGTGTGTGCCCAGTTACTCGCAGCACTACATTGTAATTGTGCCAGAAGGACAGCAGGTGTCAGTCCTGTCCTGAGACCTTCCTACTGGGGTACAGCCTTGGGCTTGCTGAGGGTTAGGAGGAGCAGAGAGGTACGTGTGGAAGGCAGTGTTGGGTAGAAGGAAGAATGCTATTAATGAATGGGTGTTCAAAATCTGGGCTTGGCTTGAGGTTGTTGTTTTTTTTTACATAGAGTCCTGTTATTTTATTCCTGCTGGCTTCGAACTCCTAGGTTTAAGAGTTCCTCCCACATTATCCCCCACAGTAGTACAGACCACAGCCATGTGCCACTGAGCTTGGCTTTTGTGGATCTATTTCCTTCTAAAATGGAGGCAGTAGTAATAACTTCAAAACAGTTTTTTAATGTTGGAGAGAGAAAGAGAGAGGGAGGCAGAGGATGTGGGTTTATATGTTTATGTTTAATGCCTCTTTTTTTCTTTTTCTGAACCGGGGATTGAACTAAGGCCCTTGCGCTTGCCAGGGAAGCATGTATTCTACTGAGTCATCTCCCCGGCCACCTTCTTTTGATTTGTTTCTTTTTCTTTAGACAGGGTCTCACCATGCAGTTCACTGGGCTTGAACTCACAACGTTGTCCAGGCTGGCCCCAAATTCATGGTGATCCTTTTGCCTCAGCCTCCTATGTGCTGAAATTACAGGTGTTCAGCACGGCACCCCTATATTTAATACTTTTCTACCTTCAGAGAGAACAGTACTTTGGTCTGGCAATTCATGTTAAATATTCCTCCGTTGACACCTCTCAGTGATGATGAACATAGCACAGAAGATGTAAGCACAGCTCTGCCTTTCTTGCCTTTATTGAATTCTTTAAACAATATTTAGGATAGTATTCAAATATTCAGTATTGAAAATAAATTATTTATCTAGGCACTGATATTTCTTAGACTGTTTAATTTTACCTTACAAGAATGATATGACATAGGGGTTCAGTTATTTCAGTTTATAATTGATCAAACTGAGGCTGTAGTTTATAAATTAACCTACACTCACAGACTAGTAAGATGCAGATAAAGAACACTTCCTTGTCTGTGCTACTGTCTTTTGTGTAGCACAAACATTCCTAGTGGGCCAGCCTTCCTGCTGACTATTGTGGCAGCTTTTAAAGATCTGTAGTCTACATTGTATAAATTCAGGTGCTTTGGCCTTTTACAAAGTCCATCCATCCATCCATCCATCCATTCGTTCACTTTTTGCTGTATTGGGGTTTGAACTGAGAGACACTTGTTGTATAACTGAGCTGCATTTCTGCCTCTTTTTGTTTTTTATTTTGTAACAAGTTCTTGCTAAATTGCCCATGATCCCCTCAAATTGACAAACCTCTGCCTCGGTCTCCTGAGCAGCTAGGATTACAGTTGGGTACCATCATGCCTGACCCAAAGAGAGCCACCAGTTCACTTGGCCTTCTCAGCATTTGATGCATGAGATCTCATTGATGGTTTGGCTTGATCAGAATTGTGGAGTGGAGACAGGCTCTTGTAATCATGTTTGCCAGCTAATGAAGCATAAGCAAAATATAGGTGTTTTCTTCACACAGTGGTGCTTTTTATTGAAGTGATATTTGTAGGTATATCTATTAAGTGATGATGCTTCTTTGGTGCTGGCATTTTCTTGAATTCTCTGTTTTCTCTTTTTAATTTAACTTACTCATTTATTTATTTTTTGAGATAGGGTCTTGCAGTGTTATTCATTTTGGTCTTGAACTCCCAGGTTTGAATGATCTTGCCCAAGCCTCCTTAGCAGTTGGGTTTACTTGGGCATACTACTACTCCTGGCTCGTTTGAAATATTTTTTACTGTTGGTTCTGTCCCTGTTTTTCTTAAGCTTGAGCTCATGGGTGAGTGTAATACATTAATGACATCTCAATGCTGAGTTAACTAGAACAATCTGTATATTACTATAAAACATAAAAAGATGTTAAGCATGTAAGTTATGCTATCTCAGCTTACAAGCTTTTTTTCAGGTCAAAGAACTGGATGTCGTTGTTCTGAGCCTGCTCATTCTGGATGGTGAATCAGTCTACAGCCTGACCACAAAACCTATCCTGCTCCTGATTGCACGCATTATCCTAGTGAATATGAGACATAAGCTGACAGCCATTCAGGTGAGGAACAAAAAGGGTCTGTGAGTGTCATGCCATCAGTGACATTCTGTGACTTTTGCGCTTCTGGCCTCAATTATACATGTGATGTTGACAACATTTAGGTGTATTTGGTTTTCTGAGTCTTCTTTAAGGTATTTTATTTTAAAATCTGGTGAAAGGAAGCAAAACCTTTTTTTCCCTTATAAGATTCATCTAGCATAAAGTGAAATTATATTTAATTTGTTGATACAGGATCTTGCTACGTGAGACTTACAGTGATCCTCCTGTCTCAGTCTCCCCAAGTGCTCTGATTACAGATGTGCACCACCACACCCGGCTTGGCATGCAGTACCAGTGATCGAGCTTGGGCTCTCGCGCTTACCTAGCAGGTGCTTAGACCGCCCAGCTATCTCCCCAGCCCGAGTGAAATTATATTTAGCCTCTATAGTAATTTTTTTGTGTGTGAGTATTAATGTTCATTCTTAGAATTTGTTTTGTCTTCTGAGACAGTTTCTTGCTATGTAGTTCAGGCTGGCCTTGAGCTCGAAGCTGCCCTCTTGCCTTAGCCTCTTCAATGCAGGGATAATAAGCCTAGTGTGTCACCATGCCCAGTTCATAAGTCTAGGTTTAAAAGCTTGATCGACTTCTGTAAATTCCATGTACTGATATGCGCCACGGCCAGGATGCAGTGATGCCAGTGACTGCCCCCTGGCCCACGCCTGCCTTGTTTCATTATTGGGGTAGATTTAGTCATAGGAAGCTGATACATAGTAGGGATGACAAAAGCCATGAAAGGGACAGAAAGTCGGTCTTTGGAGAAGTGGTGGAGGCTGTCCTCTGTGGCAGATGCAGCTGTGCTGCGTGGTGATGGGAAAGCAGCTAGAGGCAGCGTGTAAGCAGACAGGTGGAGCCCCTTCCCATTAAGCAGTGTGTATGGACACTGAAATTCATGTTTTATGTACTTTGCACATGTCCTGAATTTTTTCCATTAATTTTAATTTATTTTGTAGCCAGTTCAGCCCACCCTGGGGGTGGGGCTGGTGTGGCATGTGGTGCCAGAGATTGAACCTCAGTGCCTGTGCTTTGCCTAACCTTACCTAAGCCGGGGCTTCAGACCAGTGTGCTCTCTCGCTGGCCCCTTTTTATTTATTTTAAAACATGTGGGGGCCAGGGAGATAACTCAGTAGATTAATCGCTTGCCTAGCAAGTGCAGGGACCTGAGTTCAATCCTTGGTTCCGTAAAACAAAAACAAAAACAACCTCCCCCCAAACAAACAAACAAAAAAAACCATATAGGGGCTAGGGAGATGGCTTAGTAGAATAAGCGCTTCCCTGGCAAGCGCAAGGTCTGAGTTCAATCCCCGATTAGCCAAAAAAAAAAAAAGTGAACTATTTTTAGTTCTTGGACTATACAGAAACAAGCAGTGAGCTGGATTTAACCTACTGGCTGTAACTTGCTGACCCCTCTCTATCTGAGTGGCTTGGCTTCATGGTGACCCTGTATTGTGAGAAATAGTGTCCATACTGGCCATGGTGGTGTATGCATGTAACTGCAGCACTGGGCAGACTGAGCCAGGACTGGCATCAATTTGAGGTCAACCTGGATTACATAAGTGAGTTCAAAGCCAGCCTGCACTACATAGTGAGACCTATCTCTCCCATACCCCCCAAAAAGTGTCTAAATTTTATGTGAGCCTCCCAATTTGTGTTGACTGAAAATTTTTAAGAAACCCAATATTTTAACTCGTTATGGTGGCATGTATCCATAGTTTCAGTTAGTGGGAGCTTGAGGCAGAATTTCTGGAGCCCAAGAGCTTGCAACCAGCCTGGGCAACATGGCAAGACCCTGTCTCAGAAAACAAAGAAGCCTCAGAAACACACGTAGTATTTCTATAGGGAAAATGTAGGAATTATATACTGTGGCTTACTTTCTTAGAACATTTAAGTTTAGACTTTAGACACTGCTTTTAAGAAAAGAAGTGATGTCTCTTTTGGCAACTCTCACAAGAATGAAAGGTTTTGGAATTGGTTGTACTTGAAAGATTCTTTTTTAAAAAAATCTTATTTATTTGTGTGTGTGTGTGTGTGTGTGTGTGTGGCCAGCTCAGCCCACCAGGGGGCGGGGCTGGCTGGCATGTGGTGCTGGGGGATTGAACTGTGGTCCGTGTGCTTTGCTAAGCTTGTTCTAAGCAGGTGCTTTAGACCACTGAACCATCTCACCAGCCCGAAAGATTCTTAATAGGTGATTTCAGTTATGTTTTAGCAGATGTGAAACTTATGTTCGGATTTGTATTGGTCAGGGTTTTACTTAGAGGAACAGATACAAGGAACAGATATTAACACAAGATATACAATGTACAAGGAATTATGAGATTGGCTTACAACAGTCAGCTGCAGAGTCAGATGCAGGAGTGTGCAGAGGGCATCTGCACACCCCAGACTGAGGAGTTCAGTCCCAAGGTCTGAAGCTCACTGCTGTACTCCGTGCAAGTCTCTGTTTGTCAGCTGATGGGTCTGCAATGGAAGACTGAAGAGTCTGCGAGGGATGCTGAAGGGTCTGCAATGGAAGGTGAAGGATCCAAGCTGGAGGCCGAAGAGTCTGCGCTGCAAGCCAGGCGATGAAGTCCAAACCAAATGCAAAGACTGAAGTTCCTCCAACGAAGCAGAAGATCGATCGACTACTTCCTCAGCCCCTTTATATGGTTTCTTTGTGCCGAGTCACTCTGGGGGCAAGACCAATTGTGCCTGAGGGCGGGACCCCCACCAGCCGGAAGTGCACGGCAGAGTCATCCGACCAAATTGACACAATGTATCAACCACTACAGGATTCTTAGTGATAATAGCTTTAATAAAATTTTTCCCAGGTTGATCTGAGTTCAATGGTTCCATAGACTCATTGCATCTAAAGAAAGGACCACCAAGGAGCAAGGCTGGAAGATAGCATTATTTTCTTTCTAACCAGAGTATGGTCACTATGAGTGAGATGCTTCTAGCTTTTGTTAGTAGAAGACTTTCATCAATACTTTAAGATCATTTGAAAAATTAAATGTAACCATGAACAGCTTAGGAGAATTAGTAGATATGTGAAGTGCTGGTGGCAAGCGCCATACTTTGTAGGCCTGCAGCTGAACAGTGTTTAACTTCTGTTTAAAAATCCTGTTTTCATCACCCTCCCAACACCATTCTGGACTGAAATCTTACCTTTCATTTAAAACATTCTGTTGCAAATTTTTTGCTCTGGGTCTTTTTAGTGTATCATTCTTTTATCATTTATTTAAAATGGCTTTTTCAGCTGGTCATGGTGGCACACATCTGTAATCCCAACACCCAGGAGTCTGAGGCAGGAGGAGTCCTTCCAGTCTGAGGCTAGCCTGAGATATATTGTGAGTTCAAAGACAGCCTAGGAAAAGGACAGGATAGCGAGACCCTGTCTCAAAAAAAGGCTTCTTTGATAAGCGAGTTCTCATATACTTTTTTTTTTTTTTTGTGGAATCGGGGCTTGAACTCAGGCCTTTGCGCTTGCCAGGGAAGCGCATATTCCACTGAGCCATCTCCCCGGCCCCCAAGTTCTCATATACTTATCCAACTTATTTTTAACCCTTTAAATAGTAATAAATAGTATTACTGTGTGTGGTGCTTGGGATTGAACTCAGGGCATGGAACATGCTACACAAACCCTCTACCACTTATTTATTAAGTTTTGAGTGGTCTGAGTCCTAAGAAGTGTATCATTTTGTTTCTTCTGGTATAGTGTTTTTTTTTTTTTTTTTTTTTTTTTTCAATATCATGCTGTTTGTCACTGCATTTTTTTTTGTTTTTATTGTAGGGTCTACTGGGTCTTACTAGTGACCCGCCTGTGTTCAGCCTCCCAAAAGCTAGGATTACAGGTGTGGGCTACCACAGCCAGCTTAATAGTGTTGTTTTTGAGGAGTTGTAAACAAGCGCTGCTCTCTCACCCCCTAATCTGCACCCAGAATTAATATGTTCATATTGAATAAAAGGTATCATGGCTTCGAAAGCAGACCACAGTTCTCCAACTCCTTCAGAACTGTGTGATGTGTGTTACTCAATTTCTGTGAATTTCAGTTTCCTTGTGTGTAACACTGAATGGATGCCACGCCTTTATTGTTTGTCTCTGAAGTATACCGTTGCTCCCTGCCATTTAAGAGCTTCTTGAGTGTGACTCTCAACCAGTCTATTATATAATGAGTACTATAAGCAGAATGTAGCAATCACAAAATTGTCCATAAAGTATGGTTCCAACATTTCTTTTTTGTTAGTGCTTTAGTTTTTCTTTCATTCATTCTTGGCAAATAAGACAAGACCTTTCCAGTAGGAAAATTCATTATGCTTTCTATTTTTGTTTCAAGCTCTCCTCCCCCAAATAAGGATTTTGGTTTAGAAGTTAAAATGTATAGTCCTTATTTTTAGAGTTCAGCAGCGTGTGCAGTAGTTTTCTTAAAGAGAAATCTTTTTAACTGGATGCATCTAAATTCTCATGTCTAGAAAAAGAGAGATTAAGCTGCCAAAACTGACTCACTTATTGCTGTCAGCCTATAAAGACAGATTATGGAAATGCAGACCAACTTCATAAGTCTTAGTGAAAGGATAAGAAGGAAAATGAGGTAACACCTCAGGAGATTAAATTAAAAATGTTTTGAAACTTAAATTCTGCCTTTCCTTAAATAGATGGAAGAAACAGCGTTGATAATTAGGAAGGATTCTGGCAGAATGCATTTGTGGTTGCATTACTGTAGTAGCAGCAATGGTGTTTGGCAGTTACAGGAGGATCCTTGAATCAGATGAGAAATTAAATAAAAAAAGTTTCTGTTAGCTATGCTTGGTCTCCTATTAGGAGGTAATATTGTTGAAAAATAAAAATGAATTTCTTCTTGGGGAACCGGGGATTGAACTCAGGCCCTTGCGCTTGCCAGGGAAGCGCTTATTCCACTGAGCCATCTCCCCGGCCCTAAAAATGAATTTCTTACACCTTCATGTAATATAATTCTTTTTTTTTTTTTTTTTTTTTTTGGTGGAACCGGGAATTGAACTTAGGCCCTTGTGCTTGCCAGGGAAGCGCTTATTCCACTGAGCTATCTCCCCGGCCCCATGTAATATAATTCAAGGTAACAATTATTCTTAAAATAATTCAGTATATGTTCATATTGATATTTTAATGAATATCAAAACTGTTATTACTTGCACGTGCATGTACAATAAAAGTGCACAAAGAAAAAGGTCTAGAAGAATATAAAAGTTTATAGTGAATTTTTCTAGGGGAGCAAGATAGCGTAGAGATGATGGTAGAAAGATGACTCTTCTCTGTATACGATTTTATACTGGCTTGCTATTGTTTCTTGGTCTTTGTTTTGTTTTAGATTTTGGAGACAGGGTCTCAGTGTATAGTTTAGGCTGGCCTTGACCTTGCTGTGTAGCCCAGGCTGGCCTTCAGCTCTTGGTGATCCTCCTGTCTCTTGCCTGCTGAGATTACAAGTGTGAGCCACCTTGCCAAGGACCCTTTTTTTCTAATGAGGGTACATTCATCAGCAAACTTTGGAAAGTAAAAGTGAAAGCTACTATATACTCTGTGCATTAGTCAAGTCAGTGTATAATGTAGTTTCTGTCAAATTGTCCAAAGCTAGGCGTGGTGTCACATGCCTGTAATTCCAGCACTTAGGAGGCTGAGGCAGGAGGATCATTGTGAGTTCGATACCAGCCTAAGCTACAAAGTGAGGCTCAAGGCCAGCCTGAACTGCATAGTGAGACCCTGGCTCAAAAAAATTAAAAAAAAAAAAAAAAAAAAAGAAAGTATAGTCCATATAGAGATACGCAATTGGAAAACAAGAGCTGTCCAGGTGAAGCTACCTTGTAGGAACTGGGCAGTTCAGAGAAGTGAGCAATTTCATGTATGTTCACTAGTAGGAGACAATTTCATAGAAGAAATGTCACAAAGGTGTGGATGGGATCCCTAGTTTTGATTAATGTCTGAATCCAAGACATTCTTACTTTGCAGTTTGGGCAAAGTACTTTGCTTTGAGGAGGATACCGAGGTCAGTAAGATTTTATTTCTTATTCTACTGAACACAGTAGAATGTTTAGTGCACATCTTGTACTTGAAAATAAATACTGCCTGAAGTTCTTGTGACAAGATAAGTACAATAAATGTTTTTCAGGAGGAGATGGTAAGTCCACACTTACATCATGAAGGCCAAGTGGCCAAACCGGTAATGAAGGGCTTTGAGGCAATAGACGTTAAGGTGTTGTTTCTCATGGAAGACATAGAGGTGGATTTGGTATTATTGAAAGCATAGCAGTGGATGGATTAACTTTTAAGGCATTGATTTCATGAATATACAATCCAGATTCTAAATATTAGTTTCAGTTAATTGAAAACACTGTTTCCAAGGTGTCCTTTTCTTTCAGTTTACTCACTGCTTGTTTTCCAGAGCTTGCCATGGTGGACTTTGAGATGTGTGAATATTCACCAGCAGTTGCTTGAGGAACGCTCACCCCAGCTTTTTGCTCTTGCAGAAAATTGTATTGATCAAGGTATGCAGCACATGGGCATGTGTAGGTCCCTTCTAGTTTCTTGACTGAGATATTCTTTGACAAATAACAGTGACTTTTTTTTTTGTGTGTGGAACCAGAGTTTTGAACTCAAGCCCTTGTGCTTGCCAGGCAAGCGCTTATTCTACCGAGCCATTTCCCCAGCCCCAACAATGACTTTTTGTTTGAAGTTGATTGTCCTTTTTTTAATGGTTGTGAAATATCATAATTATTAGGTAACAGATATAGAATTCCTTTTGATCTTTTATGTTTTAAGAGAGGCAGTGTCTTGCCTACTTGCCAAGGTGATTTGTCTTGGGGAGGTCAGTATGATTTTATCACAAACTACCTAAAGGTATTCTAATATTCTCTGTACTTTTTAATTATGAAGGGCCAGCAAGACAGCTCAGCAGACTAAGTGCCTGCTTGGCAAGTGCAGGGACCTGGGTTTGATCCTCAGCACCATGTGCTGCACCAGCTGTGAGCCTGGGCATGCTGAGTTGGGACGGGTGTGCTGAGTTGGAATGGGTGTGGTGCGTAGGCCTGTAATCCCAGCACTGGGGTGGCTGAAAGCTGGAGGATCACTACGAGTCTGAGCTGCATAGCAGGATTCTGTACCAAATACATAGAAATGAAAAAAAATACTTTATTGGATCTGGCGAGATGGATCAGTACAATAAGCGCTTCCCTGGCAAGCGCAATGGTCTGAGTTCAGTCCTTACCAGGAGGAGATGGTAAGTCCAAACTTACATCATAAAGGCCAAGTGGCCAAACCGGTAATGAAGGGCTTTGAGGCAATAGACGTTAAGGTGTTATTTCTCATGGAAGACATAGAGGTGGATTTGGTATTATTGAAAGCATAGCAGTGGATGGATTAGCTTTTAAGACATTGATTTGATGAACATACAATCCAGATTCTAAATATTAGCTGGAAACAAAACAAAACAAAACAAAAAAAGCTTTATTTATTTTTAAGAAAAGACTTAACTGGTGGGTGTGATAGCATATGCCTGTAATCCCAGCACTCAGAAGGCAGAGGGATGAGGGTTGCCATGAGCTTGAGGCCAGTCTGGACTACTTAAATGGGTTCACAGTCAGCCTGAACTACATGGTGAGATCCTAGCTCAAAGAAAAAGACCTAATTACCTTGAACTGCAGGAAATTGTGTTAGATTATGTATAGAATGAGAAGTTACTTATCTTGTATCCTACTTATAATAAAGTATCTATCCTGTCTATCTATCTATCTTTTTTTTTCTAATTTTTATTCATTTATTTATTTTTTTGTCCTGTCAGAGGTGAATATTCTATTGGCATCTAAATACTATAAGTGTTTGAATTCAACTAAACATCTAACACTGTCTAGCAGTCTATAATATTAGTGGGTTATCCTCAGAAGTTATTGACTTGAGCCTTTTACAGCTCATCATATTAATATGAATTTACTTTATATACCTCATTTTTATACTTTTCTACTGGATGGTTAAGACCAAGATACAGCAAGACCTATATACCCAGAAATGTAACTTTTGTATCTGATAAGGTCAGCCAAGTACTCTCAGGATTTATCCTGTAGCCCTGTACCACCTTTTGTACATCCTTTCGTCAGTGTCTGACCTGAGGATGAGTCACGGCCATTGCTTGACCAATTTGCTCTCTGTGAAAGCTTGAGAAAATGTTTTTTCTCTCCATGTGGCTCTCCCCAGGCTCACTTTAGATCCTCGAACACATTTCTCTGTGGCTCCATAATCTTCTTGATCAGAAAATTTGGAGCACAACTGAGTTACATGTTGTTACAGTACAGGTTCTCCTATGTCCCGAGTCTTCACTGACCTGGAAAGGCTAGGGCCAAAATGTTGGCCAATCATGCAGCCCTTCCTTTTCTCCAAATTTTGATCTGCTAACTTAGGTTGTTAACCTTTCAGAAGAGAAGCTAATTATTAACCTGCAATATATGCAGTTCGGTTTACCCTATCTGTAGAAATATCAAACATTTTGGCATATCCTGGAACAGGTATTTTCCATCAGGTACTGATATGTTGAGCTTTAAGTCCTTACAGAATATGAAGGAAAAGTAATTATATAAAAGTAGAAATAAGCATTTACATATTTTTTACAAAGAAATTTAGAAACCTAGTCATATACGGAATTGTAAGTCCTTATATTAGGGAGATAATACGATATTTACAGATGTGGGTCTGGTTTATTTCACTAATAAGTATTCTTCAAGGAGCATCTACTTAAATATGAAGGCTTCAAGTTTATCATTCTTTATAGCTGAGTAGTACTCCATTATATAAAAGTACCACATCTTTTTCATCTATCTTTTTGAGACAAGGTCTCATTATACAATTAGGCTGGCCTTAAACTCAGTTTGTAGCCCAGGATGGTCTCGAACTCTCAAAGATCCTCATGCTTCTGCCTTCTGAGTGCTGGGATTACAGGTGTGCACCACCACTCCTGGCCTTTGTTTTTTATTTTTTATTTTTTTTTGTGGTACTGGGGATTGAACTCAGAACCCTGTGCTTGCCAGGAGGGCGTTTATTCTACTGAGCTATCTTCCTGGCCCATTTTTTAAATTTGATAGAAACTATATTTTACTAAAGATGACAGCTTCACATTTTTTTGCTAATATATAATGTTAAACAAAAATGTTCCTAGAGTGTGAGTTGGAGTTTATAAACTAAACACATGTCTGCTTCCTGCTGCCTTTGTTGCAGGTATCTATGTTTCCTACGAAAGTACGTGGTTTCTAGTGACTGACTGGACTTTTAGAATCATTTTTCTTGGCCAAACAAAATAAAAACAAAAGCAAACTCTCTTACAGTGAAGGAATACTTGAACACAAATCAACTTGGGTTTGGTAATGAGTTTTTGAGTTACAGAGATGGGATTTGAGTTTAGCTATGTCCAGTTCCAAAGCCTGTATGTACTCTTCTATCTCCCAGGCATATCTAAGGAAGGCATATGGGTGGGCCCTTGGGTGTAAGGGGCTGGAGAGAGTGGCTAGTATCACTCTGGAAAAGAGTGATCTGTACTTGGAGGTAGCAGGTTCACGAAGGCATAAAATAAGTCTCAATTGTATGTGTGTATGTGTAAGTGCAAGAAGCTCCTGGGCTTACTGGGTTCTGTTTCCTTCAAGGGATTATCTGTCCAATAACAAGTTAGGCTACAACACAGACCAAGCACTGTATAGTTTATACAGTAACATGACTAAGTTATATGATTGGTTGAAATTATTTTCCTGATTTTTATTTTATTCTAGGATAGAAATGCATAGACATGCTAATCTTTGATAAACATCAGCATGATTTTAAAAAAAAGTAAGAAAAGTATTATACAACCTGTGTAATAATTGATTAATTTTGTTTTATAAAGCTATGAGACAAACAGGAAATTTTAAACTAGCAGAGCTGAAACATTGTATATATTAAAAATTCTGCCTGGCTTAAGATAGCAGACTAGTTCTATTAAATCTAAGGCTAGAGGGCCAGTGAGATGAATCAGCAGACTAAGTGCCTATGCCTGCTTAGGCAAGCACGGGGACCTGGGTTTGATCCCTAGCACCACATGCTGTGCAGGCCCTGGCCCTAGTGCACCCAGAGCTGGCCACCGAGTCCAGGCTGGTGGTGCACACCTGTAATCCCAGCGCTGGGTAGCCTGAAAACAGGAGGATCCCTATGAGTCCGAGATGTGTAGTGAGACCCTGTACCAAGTACACTAAAACCAAACCAAAACAAAAACTAGGGCTAAATGTGGTGGCATGTGTCTATATAGTCTTATCTGCTTGGCAGGTGGATCACTTGAGCCCAAATTAGTGAGTTGTAGTCTCAAAAAAGAAAAAAAGAAAAAAGAAAAGAAGGGGGGGGGCAGGGAGATGGCTTAGTGGATAAGTGCTTCTCTGGCAAGCACAAGGGCCTGAGTTCAATCCCTGGTTCTGGTGGGGGCGGGGGAGAAAGAAAGAAAGAAAAGAAAGAGGTGCCAGAGATATAGCTCAGTGGCGTAGCACCTGCCTGGCAAGCGCAAAGTCATGAGTTTGATTCCCAGCACCAAAGACAAAATGATTACAAAAAGTAAAGAGATTTATTCTTTTAAAATAATACTATTTCTTAAATAGCAGACCTACAAATAATTTTTTCTTCTTTTTTCCATAAAATCTTTGGCTTAGTGTTTTGGGCTACAGAGTTTCATGGGCAGATGCAGCCAGCTGAACCTTGTACAGAGCCACTGATTCCCCCAACACTCCACTGAGAGTGAGCTCTGCTCCTCTCCCCTCCCCTCCCCTCCCCTCCCCTCCCCTTTGCTCTTCTTCTTTTCTACAGGGTCTTGCTGCACAGCTCGGACTTGTAGTGATCATCCTGTCTCAGCCTCCCCAGTGCTGGGATTACAGGCATGTACCACCACACCAGGTTTCAGCGGCATGGCATGTGGTCCCGGGGGTTGAACTCATGATCTTGAGCTTGCCAGACAGGAGCTTAGACTGCTGAGCTGTCACCTGGGCTAGGAGTTTCTTGACACTGGAGTTTTAAAAATTAGTTTCCACTTAGAACGGTGTGTAGAAAGAAAGTAAATACTTATTATATGTTTATTAAGTAATAACAGCTAACATCTGTTGAGCCTTTAGTTTATATAACTTTGAGGAAAAAGTTATAAAATTCCATCTCAAAAGCAGTGCTCTCTGGGAGTATTTGTTTCCATCTTGAGCATTTTCTGCCTGAGTTGACTTTTCTGAACAGGGGACTTTCAGACGTGGAATTATGGGAAAATGGCTTCTGTGCCGATCCTCTATGGAACTTCGAATTTTCTCTAAGTGGGTGTTGCTCATGTGTGGTATTCTTTGCACAGTGAAAGATGAAGTAAGTCTTGGAGAAAATTAATTCCTGGTGTCCCACTTAGCAGACACGTTATTGTCTTTTTTCTGTTTGTAGTAAAATGAAAACTGTAGATTGTTTTCCCCTGTTCCTGCTATTACTTGTTTCTAAAGTGAACCAAGATACCAGATAT